GTTCGCTTTCTCTTTGTCCTCTAGGGCGTCAAACCAATTGCGCAGAGTCACGGGCATCCCCTAGGTGGTTGAAGAGCAGACTGAGGTATGTTTTAAGGAAACATTTATTTATTATAAAACCAATTTAAATACCATGCCCGAAAGTGGCATGCACACATCATACAGGGTGGCTCGGGAAGAAGAGCCGAAGGGATGGGAACAGTGAAGTGATAGTAAAAACATCGCGCCTTGATGGCCTTCGCGTCCTCGGATTGTAAATACTGACATATGTCGGTATTGGTAGAAATGAGGACGGGTAGGCGTCTGAGCCGGGCATCGGGTTGGTGTTTCACATGGATATCGAATTGTCTTCCTCCCAGGAGTTCTTTGAAGTCGTTGACCGTTAATGGCGTAATCCTGGGTTCTTCCATAAGCGCAACTGCCTTGTTTAGTAAGTTCATGAGGTAGAACTGGGAGTGGTCTCCACTCCTCTGGACTGTTCCGTAGATGTAATTCTCCGTGAGGAGATTTAACATCAAGGACTTGCCTATGAGAGGAGAGATGAGAGGAGTATTGGAATTTACCTGTGGTTGTTGGTCCTTGGATTACAAAGGCATTTACTCTGTTTTCTTTCTTGTTCATTATATCGGTGAGTTGGGTAAGGAATTTGTTCTTGTCTATGTTGTTCACGGCCAGTAGTCGGTCTAGCCAGCGGCAACCTTCGTCGGTTGACCTGGGCTTTTGGCAGGTCCGATTGTGGTTGTTCCTGGCTATGTATTCATGCAATGAGGTTGTCTCCTGGTCTTTGCGTAGTTTTTCCACATAGGCCTCACATGCTAATTCCGCTGTTTCTTTCCAGCTGGGTCCATGTTCGGCGTAGAGGTTTAGTCTGTCATCATAGCTTAAGGCATCCTTGAGTTCGGCTAAGGTTCGTGCATCATATGTTTCTACCAATTCACGGATGAGATCTACTCGGGCTTTCCGTTTCAGGTTGGTGAATTTTTGGCCTTGCGCTCTATCATTTCGAAGGAGCGTTGAACAATCTTGCTCCGCTCGTGTTGTTGAACGAGCGTCAGTGGCGAGTTGTTCGAGTTCCCGGCCAATGCAATAGATGCAATTTGTGCTATGTCGGACCAAGTAAGCGGCAAACTTGTCCCAGTTGATGACTGGTTGACATGTGGATAGGATGGACACATTTTGCATGGTATCCAGGTTGCCTGCCTGGATGATTCTTTGTATAGTTCTTCGCTTGTTGTTCGGATGGCATTTGAACACGAAGTGAAAATGGTCGGTGTGGTCCGCCCACAGACAGTTGACCCGGCTATTGATGGTGAATTTCGGTGGCGGTCCTCGGTAGATGAAAGTCCAAAGCTTGTCTGGACCTGTTTCCGATGTTGTTGATGATTCATCGCTTTCAGGAAATAGGCGTTTCCTAGACAAAGGTTAGTAGACAAAGACATAGTTACCTGGGTACGGTTTCCGTGTCACAATTGTACCATGTGGGTGCATATTGTTTTCGTGGAGTGGCTGGTGGTGACTGGGTCCAGGCTTGTCCGAACGCGTTGGCAATCCGTTCGTCCATCCACTGGGCAGATGATGGTGGTGATTCATCCTCGAACAAGTCTGGACTTGGATGATGCGGTTGTACGTGGATCTGGTGTTCCGGTGTCGGTAACACGTTGGGTGTCGAGTACGAGGGTGTTGGCAGGATTACTGTGTTGTCAAACACA